ATGAAGAAGAATGAAATCTTATCATTTGCAAGTAAATGGATGGAACTGGAGAATATCATCCTGAGTGAGGTTAGCCAGGCCCAGAAGACCAAAAATTGTATGTTCTCCCTCATATGTAGACTTTAGATTAAGGGTAAACACAACAAGGGGATTGGACTTTGATCACATGATTAAGCGAGAACACACAAGGGTGGTATGAAGATAGATAAGAAACCCAAAAAACAAGAAAGCATTTGATGTCCCCAATGCAAAGGAACTAATGCAGAAACTTTAAAGCAACAGAGGCCAATAGGAGAAGGGGACCAGGAACTAGAGAAAAGGCTAGTTCAAGAAGAATCAATTTAGAATGTAACACATATGTACAGGAAAGCAATGTGAGAAATTTCCCTGTATAGCTATCCTTATCTCAACTAGCAAAAACCCTTGGTCCTCCTTACTAATGTTTATACTCTCTCTTCAACAACATTAGAGATAAGGGCAAAAGAGTCTCTGCTTGGAAGTTGGGGAAGGAGAGGGAGAGGGAGAGGGAGGGGAAGGGGGGAGGGGCAGAGGAAAGGGTGGGGGCAGGGGGAAGGGAGGGGGCAGGGAGAAAGGGGGAGAAATGACCCAAACATGATATGCACATATGCATAAAAGAAATTTAAACAAAATTGTAAAAAAAAAAAGAAGAAGAAAAAGTATGAGGATATCCATTAATGTGTTCTTTGTAATAGTTAACAACTGCGAACATAAATTTTACTACATCTGTACAATGGAATACCATTCAGCTTTTAAAATGAGGTACAGGTAGATTTCTATATATAGGTAGGAAAAATTGTTATGATTACAATAGTATTTATAAAGAGCAAGATACACAAACGTACTCATAGTATCATTCCATTTATATTTAGGTGAAAAGAATGTGCTTCTAAGTTTAAAAGTGCACTGGAAATATTCTGAAAGGATATACACCAAACTGAACAGTTACCTCTATGAAAAAAAAAAAAGAGTATTACAGAAAATGAAAGGAGACTTTTTATTTATTGTATTTGTTCTGTTGTGTTTGGAAACAGGGTCACACTATGTAGCCAGGCTGACATAGAATTTGCTAAATTATGTAGGTCAAACTCATGATCCTTCTGCCTCAGACTCCTGAGTGCTGGAATTACATGTATGTGTGACAACTCCCAACTCTGTATGTCTGTGTTTTTAAAATTATAAATATGCATGACACTTTTGTCACTAATACACTTACATAATTCAAATAATTTCTAAAACATATTTTACATTATCCTAGATGTAAACTCCACAACTAGGTTAAGTTCCCCGAGAGACTTATTTTCATCCATATTTCAATCACCAAGGACCACTGCTTCTTCACAGAATTTTGATAAATATCCACAGAATGAATTCAGGTGGCAGTTGAATTAGTACACTTTCCTGTAAGAAAGAAGTCACTGCCTATTCTATCACTATTCTAATGACTACAATCATTAAATGAGATTATAAATTTTAACAGTTATGTCTTACCAAACCTTACTGTGGCTTTTCTCTTCTATTATCATTCTTTAAAGGCTCCATGATAGGAGCTGGGCAATGACACCAGCCTGAAATCCCAGCAATCAAAAGGCAGAGGCAGGAGGATAGACAGTTCAAGGTCAGCATAAGCTAGGTAGAGAGACCCTGCCTCAAAAAAGAAAAACAAAGGGCTGGGGAGGTAGATAGATAGTAAAGCAATTGCCTAGCAGGAGCAAGGCCCTGAGTTTAATCCGTAGCACTGCAAGGAAAAAAAAAAAAAAGAAGAAAGAAAGAAAGAAAATTAAAGTTATCAAGGAAAGAAGCAAGCAAACAAAATAGATCCTGTTTTTAATTAAATCCCCAAATGAAAACTGGTATTTGCTGGAACCAACAGAGTCTAACCATGGGGTATGCAAGCAGCAGAGAATACAGTTATCTATTACATGTTACTTTGAAATTCACTCAGCTTTAAGGTGAATACTTACGTTCTCTGTATTCTATTTCTGCTTCCTTCCGTAGTTTTTTCTCTCTGGCCAGAGCTTCGGAGCTTCCCCAAACTTCCAAAGATCTGTTCATATACACATGGTCACCACCAATGAACAATTTTAATGACTTTATTATATTTAAATGATATAAATGAACTATTTGAGAATCTTACAACAAAGCATAAGGTCCTTTCAGAAGGTACAAAGGAACTTTTCTAAATTAAATCTAAACAATAAGAGTAAACTCAACAGCAAATTCTCTTAAAAATTATGAAATATATTGTTACCTATACATACTAGTACAGATAAACAAACTTGCAAATACAAAAGTATTCTGTTTCTTTAAAAAGGTCATTTTCAAGATTCTGAATCTGTTGAAAAATGTGTTTTGTTATTTTTAATGGGACTGAGGTTTGAACTCAGGGCTTCACCCTTACAAAGCAGGTACTCCACTGCTTGTGCCACACCTCTTGTACATTTTGCTCTAATTATTTTGGAGATAGGGGTCTCACAAACTATTTTCCCAGGCTGGCCTCAAACTTCAATCCTCCAGACCTCAGCTTCCCAGGTAGCTAAGATTATAGGCGTGAGCCATCAGCACCTAGCAAATAATGTGTTCTTATTAATCCTAGATTTGGCTTGCACTTGAACTTACTTTGCCTCCACATCTGATCTCAAGTATACAGTAAAGGACTCTGTATCTTCATGGGGACTTCGCCGTCTAATTTTTCGAAGTTGTTCTAGGTCACTGCAGAAAGAAGCATGTTGAATTTATTCAAAGGGCATATAGTTTACAGATTAAAAAGACTGCTAAGGGTAGATAAAAACAACTACATTAATCTTATCTTAAAATAATTTATTTGTACAACTCTTAAAGATCAGTTTAAAGATGACAGTTTTTAACACAAAAAGAATGGTCTGGAGACAGTAAAAAAATTATTTTTGATGCTGAATACAGACGCCAAAATAGTATGCAGAGATTCAATTCACTCATTGGTGCTGTGTTTTCTCGGCTACGGTCATACCACTGCTACCTTAAATGCATGAAAAAAAGTCAAAAGTAGAAACAATATTTAGAGTATCACCCTTCTCTTTAAGAGTTTAAACTAAAAATATACACATAAAGATATTTGTTTATATTTAAGTATTAAATGGTAATATCCATTCAAAGGTATCAAGTCATAAAGGTTATATGTCAATTACATGCTATTTACTTATTTTCCTTTCTCTTAAATTCTGAAAGGGTTATATATCTATCAAGTCATTGCTAAATAAATATTTTATATATTTTTTATTGTGCTGGGTGGAGGTACATTGTGGGATTTACAAAAGTTCTTACAATGTATCAAATATATCCTACTTTAATTCACTCCCCTCCATCATTCAACTTTATCATCATTCAACTTTATCCACCTCTCTCCCCATTACTGGAGTAGTTTCAAAAAGTATCATTTTTCTATTTACATACATGGGTACACAGTACACCATATTTACCCTCCTACACCCTTTCTCTGACACCTCTCCCCTCCCACTGGTACTAATATCCCCCCACATCCCACCCCTAGGGCAGGACCTGTCTCACCCTCCTGTTCTCCGATTTTGTAGAGGAACAAAAGAAAAAACTTGACATTTTTTGTTTAAGAGAGTTTCCTTGTGACATTTCCATGTATATATCTATTTTAACCTGAATTGGTTCATCTCTATTTTTCTTCATTCTACATTAGTACCTTTCTTATAGTGGTTTCAACTGGTTTTAAAATTCTACTTCATTCTTCTATAGAGAGTACATCAACCATATTCACTTTCTTAATTTCCTTCTTTTATTCTCCCTCTCTCATATGATTTCCCTTTAGTGTAACCTGTTTTTCATAATTGCTGTATTTATATAAGGTCTATATTCCACATATGAAAGAAAATAGGCAGGCTTTGGCTTTCTATGCCTGGTAAATTCACTTAAGACGATGTTTTCCAGCTCCATCCATTTACTTGCAAATGACAAAATTTCTTTCTTCTTTGTGGCTGAATAAAATTCCACTGTATATACATTTTCTTAATCCATTCATGAGTAGTGGGGCATCTTGGCTGTTTCCACAGCTTAGCTATTGTGACTAATGCTGCAATAAACATGGGTGTGCAGGTGCCTTTGTTGTAACCTGACTCACATTCCTTTGGGTGTATCCCTAGGAAAGGTATTGCTGGGTCATATGGCAGTTCTGTTTTTAGATTTTTGAGGAGCTTCCATACTTTTTTCCATAGTGGTTGTACCAATTTACATTCCTACCAGCAGTGTATAAGGACTCCTTTTTCCCCAACATCCTCACCAACATTTGTTGTTTGTGTTCTTGATGATTGTCATTCTTACAGAAGTAAGGTGGTTTTGATTTGCATTTCCCTTTATGGCCAGGGATGGTGAGCATTTTTTCATGTATTTTTTGGCCATTTGAACTTCTTCCTTTGGAAAGACTCTGTTCAGTTCATTTTCTCATCTCTTCATTGAGACATTGATTTTGGGGGAATTTAGTTTTTTGAGTTCCCTGTATATTCTGGTTATCAGTTCCTTGTCTGATGTATAGCTAAGAAAGATTTTCTCCCATTCTATGGGCAGCCCCTTCAACTTAGAAACCATTTCCTTTGTTGTGCAGAAGCTTTTTAATTTCATGTAGTCCAATTTGTCAAACCTTTCCCATAGTTGCTGAGACATATGAGTTCTATTTAGGAATCATTGCCTATACCTCTTAGTTCCAGTGTATTCCCTGTTCTTTTCTGTACTAGCTTCAAAGCTTCAGGTCTTAATATTAAGGTCCTTAATCCACTTTGTGTTGATACTTGTACAGAGTGAAAGACATGGATCTAGTTTCAGTTTTCTGCAGGCAGATATCCAGTATTCCCAGCAAATATTTTACATTTAATCATTTGTCTTCCTAGAGAAGTTTTATAACAGCAATGAAAAGACCTATAAAGTCAGTGACTATGGAATGTCCTTAAATTCTAGAAATTAAACTCAAATTTTTAAAAAATCAACATTACAAGTTAGTAAAAACCTTGAGCTGTATATCAAAAGATACATATTCTAATTCACTCTCTAATTCTCTAAACAAGCTGGTCAAGTCACTTAATATTTTGTGTTATACTTCCTGGCCTTTAATATGGAGATAGCAATATCTGATCCACTTAATTTACAAAACTTGAGAACCAAATGAAATACTCTGTGGAAAATAGAACAGTTTTACACCAATGTCATAACAGTTGTTTTGTTGTAAAACTTATTGTAGAAATACTTTTTCTTGCTATTCACCATAGCAGATTTGACCATGAGAGAAGGAAAAAAGAATAGATGATCTACTTTCTCTAACTGGCCCACAAAGAGGGAGAAAAGTTTAAGTCTGTGACAAATATACTTTTAATAAATATTTATGACTATAAGAAAAGTATACAAAAGATAAAGAAAAATTTATACTTAACAAACCACAGTTGGGAGTTTGAACATAAATGTAACTCTCTAAATTAAGTGTTCAAAACTGCTAGCTAAAAAAAAAAAAAAAACACTTTAAAATGTCAACTATACAAACAATAATATTAATAATTCTTCCGTACACTACTACTATAACAACAAAACTCCTAAAATTCTGTGTGACATCTGTGTAGGAACAAGACACAATGAAACGCAATGAAAACTGTTGAACAATAACAGGGTAGGGAGAAAAGGGTAAAGAGTAGAGGGGGATCCCATTTGTCAATCTTTCTCTTAATTGCTGAGCTATCTGAGTTCTATTGAGGAAGTCATTGCCTATGTCTATTGGTTTCAGTGTATTCCTGTTCTTTCCTGCACTAGCTTCAAAGTTTCAGGTCTTATATGAGTTGATACTTGTACAGGGTAAAAGACATGCATCTATTTTCATGTCTAGAGAGCTAGACTGATTAAATTATAATACATTTCAGGTAAAATGCCAAGGCAAAACCCCACTAAACAATGAACAGACCCTTAAACAGCATTATGTTAAGGGGAGGGTAAATAAAGAGGGTAAAGGAAGGTGAATATGGTTGATGTATTTTCTATTCATGTATGAATATGGAACATTGAAACCTGTCAACGTCATTTTAGGAAGGAGAGCGGAGGCAGAGGGAGAATAATGGAGGGGATAAACCAAACTGGGGTATAATATACGTATGTATGAAAATGTTCCAACAAAATACCCTGTACAACTATCATATACTAATAAAAATCCTTTTAAAAGACAGAGAAACCTTGTCAAGGAAAAATATATATATAAATACTGGAAACTTTAATTTAAATTAAAAAAAAAGATTCTTGTGTGATACCGAGGTTTTGAAGAACTTGCTTTTATATATTTAAAAAGCTAAGAAAAATTGGAATTACTGGGGCAAAATTCAGTTTAGTAAGCTATCAATATTAACATTTTTGACTGAATAAAAATATTTCTTCAATTTAAGAAGGAGCCAGTGAAAATTTTTCTACATATGAATGGTAGCAGGCAACACATTCCAAGAAATAAATGGCTAGATTATCTACACAGAGTACACTACTACATTTTAAAAAATTACTGTACCTGGGTTTAAGGCAGAACTCATTCATTGCTCTTACTCCAGTGATGAAATTATTCTTAGTATACTTTGATCCATATTCCCTTTTCTTAAGGACAGCTTTGACTAAACCAAAAACATAGGAAAACATATAAATATATATATAGAGAAAGTCTTATTTCAAGATGAATGTGTTAATACTTAAGTGGGTTCACTAATCAATTTCATAGAAAATTGATCTTCTTCCTGATGCACTAAATGGCATAAGAAAAAAAACCAAAACCTTTTCAAGTATAGAACAGGATGGAATCAAATTTATAGTCACTTAGCTTAGTTTATCCATAACTGATGCTAAAATACCAGCCTTCTGTCTAATGGACAACTTACATAGGTATTACTGCTCTGTCTGAATCACTACAAGTTTAAAGTTCCTTAGGGTCTAACTGAAAAAGTTTTAATAAAGAATTACAAGCTAGTTCAATGTTTATCAAACTGTGGCATAAAGCCAGCATTTTTTAAAAGGACAAAATAAAAAGTAATCAAAGAATATTGAATTTAATTAAGGTAAGTACTTTTGTGAGATTTTTTAGTAAGTTATGTATGGTAATCTTCTAGGTCATTAAAGTAGTACTTTCTTGTGGACTGAAATAAAAAAGTTTAGTCACTGGACTATTTCAAATAATGTTACAAAACTAAAGTAAACTGAGAAATAATTTTATCAATCAAAAATTACAGCAGGGCAAATCACAAATACAAATTAAAATTACAATACAGGTAAATACTGCCTTCTACTAAATTATTTTCTTATTCTCTAGTATTGAACTGTCCATAAAAAGTAAAAACTGCCAGAGACACCAAAAAACAAGATAACAGTGTTAAAATTAGTGTTAAAAATTGCACCGCACTGTTCTATGTTAATAATTATGGAGGAAGACTCTTGATAAAGATAAATAACTGAACTATCTGAAGAGCCAAGAACAAAACAACAAAAAGTCATGCTTTGTGTTTCAAATTATCACCTATTCACTTCATTTTCTATGCTGCTATCTGCTAATTCCTAGTTTACTGTTCTACTTCCAAGTTGAAAGACTACAATTAAACCTAAAATTATCCATCACTTCAGTGGCAAAAAACACTCCTACAGTAACACATTAACTATTAAAATTAAATGTGCAAATACAATTTATTAAGAATATCTTAAAAATAAAATTCAACATAAAAATCAAAATCTTATCTGAAAAAAGTCCATTATAAAATGGACTTCAGATTTCTTTCTGAATAAATTTCAGGCCTAAAAACTGCCTTATCCCAGTAACCCAAAACCAACAGTCTAAAAAAATTTCTTTAAATTTTTTCAATAGAAATTTCTAAAAATTCCTATTGGTCTGTTTGTCCTGGTCCAGATTTTTTATGATGATGATGACTGCTAACCCAATATGGATTGTTTTTTTCCTTTGGGGGTATAGCAGAGATAGGATCTTGTTCCCTATGTAGCCCAGGCTGCCCTAGAACTTGAGATGTTCCTGCTTCAGCTTCCCGAATGCTGAGATTACAGATGTGTACCACCACACCCAGACTGAAACTGATTGTTCTTAACTGTAACTGTCTGCTATGTGTAATCTTCAAAGTTACCCTAGAAATGAGGTGTACTTTTCTCTAATCCTACAGGGGAGGAAACTAGGACTCAGAAGTCAAATAAATTGCCCAAGGTTTACTGCTAGTAAACTCAAGAACTACAAATTGAACCCAGTTTTAAGTCTGACACCAAAGCCACAGTGCTTCTGGTCACATTGAGCTAATACCTCCATGAAACAGTGACTATGGAGATAGGAACCATAGTCTACTACATAAAACAACTACCAACAGAAATTCCTCCAGTACTCAATTACTCCTAGAAAAGTCAGACAGGAATGGCCAAACTCTACCTTGCTTTGAACAAGCTGTAGCTGAAGGTTTAGGCCTCTTGTTCTTTAATCAAAGGATAAAGCAATTGGTGATTTTGCTTTTGTAGGCTTTTAAACTATTTGTGACCAAAATGAAAAACTTAAGTATAAAAAAAAAAAATAAATTCTTATGGTCAATCTATTTAATCAAAAGCAAAATAGAACCATACCCATTCAATATAACTTTTATAAGAGGTCCACATAAACAATATATATAGTACATACACACACATGCTAGTATATAAAAAGAGGATAAAATTTATTTACCTCTTACATGTAGAGGATCTTGCTTAAGTGGAGCTCTGAGTTCTGCACCTATATTTTCTGCTGAAAGTTTATTAAAACAAGTTTACATTACAAACATGCTTTCATACAAACCTATAATTTAATATCAGCCAACATAATCTAGCAATGTATAAAAATGACAATATATCACAGACCATTTTGGACCTATACTAAGAATGCAGGAGAACTTAAACAGTACAAAAACTATTTATTCCCCTCATTAACAGATTAAAGAAAAAAACCACAGAATCACTTCAGGAACTAAAGAGTAGATATTTAATAAAATTCAATAACCATGCAAATGTAAAACCCTTAAAACTCTGGCAAAAATACATTTCATTAAAGGGTAACAACAACAAACATTGTATCATTTAAAAAATGAAAACAGTATATAGTTCTTCCACTTAAAACTTCTAGAGACATTATTCAATGAAGAAAAGATGACTATTAAGTTGTATTGAGACAACTGTACAATCTTCCATTCGCCAAAAAAATAGAAATTCCTGATAAATTACTTATTTAAATATCATTGCATTTATACACCTCATAGTAGACAACATAGAATATAATTATGGTAAAGATATTTTTTTCCTTTTCATTCTTTTTTGAGACAGGGACTCACTATGTATCTCAGACTACCTTCAAACTCACTCACTATCCTTCTGCCTCAACCTCTGGAGCGCAGGGATTACACCTATGTGCCACCATCCCCAGAAAGATTTCTTAAAATACAAACAAACACAAAGAAAAGTGGATAAATTCTGCTAAATTAAAATTCAGAACATCTGACCACCAAAGGGTCCAATAAAAACAAAGAAGACAGGAAAAATATCTGAAACATGGAAAAGATATTTCCAATGAAAAAATAAACAAAGGACTAGACAAGAATATTTAAATCCCTCCAAATCGATTAAAAAAAAGACAAAAAAAATAAGAACTTGCATAGTCAAGGAAATACAAATAACCCATAAATACTTGAAAATTATATTAATAATGATTCATTGTTAATAGAATCCAAATGAAACTACAGAATGCCACTTTACAACCACAGATTAAGAAAAATGAAAATATGACTAACATTGGCAAAGATACAGAGCAATGGAAATGCATACATGCTGGTGGAAATTTAAACAGGCACAATTACATTAGTTAAAAAAAACCAAAAAGCAAAAAACAAAAAAACCTGACATTAAAGAAAATAGTTGGGATAAGAGGCTTTTTTTCCTAGATGGCGGATTGCTGGTAGACCTCAGAACACAAAGCTCCCATAGGCCTGAAAAGTAACCTTAGGTTTGTGGCAGCAAGGATAGGTGGTCTGGCTAATTTGCTAAGAAAAAGGTCACCAGTACATAGGCACACCATATCTACAACCACCAAACTCTAAAGCCTTTTAAGGAACAAACCTGCCCCAGGTACACAGGCTCCACCAGCAACATGCCATGCCACAGGGTGCAATTTTTCTTTTCGTTCTCTTTTTTTTTTTTTTTGTAACTGAACTAGGGCAACCTCCAATCCACAAAAGACCATTTGAAGTGTTAAAAGTTGACATACAGGGCTATGAGCCCTCCAAGAACCTGTGGGCTATGGAGAAAGGGAACCAATCACTGCCCACCAACCTGAGTCCCTATGATAGCAGAGAGAGGTGCCTACAATCCATTCAGGTGAGCTTACTGCTTTCAGTCCTGGACGATACCGCATAGTCCAGTTCAGCTTGCAGGCATCTGGTTGCACCCCTCCAGGAGAAACTGAATGAAATCTCCAGCCCTGCCTGATGGGGCAGAGGTGCCATGACTCCCGGCTCAGCCTGTGCACTTCTCTATACAAAAAGAAAGAAAGAACGGGTGCAGGCTAGACAAGCCTGAGCCCAGTCTGTGGGAAATAATAACTCATTTGACCACCTCTGAGAAGCCTAGTACCAAGCTGAAACTGATTACCTTCATAGAGAAAAGCTTTTCACCAAATAGCCTGAGCTACAGCTCCCACACTTGCCCAGTGGGAAAAGCTGCCTATGTCTTTCTTCTCGGCTTCCCTCTCAACCACCTCACAGAACCCACCTAGCCAACCAAGCTGAACCTGACTGCACCCCCCAAGAGGAGCCTGTGGCTAAACAGCCTGAGTGGAGTCCCCCAAACCAGCCTAGGGGGAAGAGGGCACCACAGATTGCCACTCAAATCTATTTCTAAGGAGGGGAAGGGACCCAGAGCAACTCCCTGTCCAAAGGGATACACACAGGCTTGCAGGGTGGGGAAGGGACAACACCTGGAGTGGACACATGAGAACTGCAGACTAAAACCTGAGGACAAGAAATTAGAGGGGACCATCCAGTGTACTCATTCAGCACAGAAGGAACACACTCCTCTCCATAACAAGGAAGAAATTCAGCCTTATAAAAAAAATGGCAATCTATTTTGAAGTTTCAATTTATCTGACATTCTTTTATTCCAATTTTTTCTTCTTCCCCCACTCTCCCTATAGCTTCTTTACAAAATCAATCAACAAGGGGTTTATTTTACCACATTCTTGTATTACTCACATCCTTTCTATCCTTCTGTAATCCCTGACAATAGCACTCCTTCACAAAGACTGAACTTCACCTCTACACATATTCGGGTCTTATTAGCCTGTAGCACCCCCCGCCAACACACACACACACTGCTTCTGCCCCTCTCCCATTCTCCTCCTTTCTTATTTCATCTAACATTCCCATTATTTTTACTAAGTTTTAATCTTTATGCCAACAGCTTTTATTTCCTTAACACCTCTCTGCTTCTAGACAACACAGGTAAGGGTTTTATATTTCCCATAATAACTGGCTTGGCAATGAATTTATGAATTTGTTGTTGCAAAATTATATCCCCAGATCAGTCAAAAGAAACTATACAACAACTTAGCCAACAACCAATCTGGCCAGAACATAGAAATTAAGTCAAGGAAAAGATTTCAGATGACTAAAACTCACAACCAACTAATCGACAACACATGAGCACATCTCAAAATAGAAGTATGGGAAATAGAAGAAAGCAGGGGAATATGACTCCTCAAAAGGCCAACAATCAAACAATAGAGTATCTGATGGATAGTGTAGGGGATGAAACCTTAGTTTCTAAGTTCAAAGGAATGATAAGAATATTCAAGGAATTTAAAAGGGACATACAAAAACAAGTCAATGAATTCCAAGAGAATACAGATAAAAAGCTCAAGAAGGTACAGAAACAACTAAACAAACTCAAAGAGGATATAAACAAAGCACTGGAATGAAATCAAGAATGATACAAAAAAAAGAGAAATGAAATAAAACAATACAAGAAGTGAAGAGGAGCTTAATAAAGATATAGAAACTCAGAAAAGGTGGTTGGGTGGGGGAACCCTGGAACTAAAAGCTGTTTAAGACAAATAAAATATACCCTTGAGGGCCAGCGGAGTGGCTCAAGTGATAGAGAGCCTACCTAGCAAGCATAAGTCCCTAAGTTCAAACCCAAGTTCTGCCCCTTCTCCCCACAAAAATACATTTGAAAATCACTCTAGCAGATTAGAATATGTGGAAGACAGAATTTCAGGGCCTGAAGACAAAAGAGATATGATGGGAAAAAAAACAAATGAATACATAGAGAAAGTATGAAGAATTATAAAGAAATAGGCAAGACCTTTCATGACTTTATTAAAAGACCAAACCTATAAATCATGGGCACTGAAGAAGTGCAAGCCAAACGCATAGGAAACGTAACAAAATAATAACAGAAAACTTCCCAAATCTCAAGAAAGAGATGCCCATCCAGGTAGAGGAGGGCTCTAGGACACCAAATAGACTTGACCAAAACAGAACTTCTCCATGGTATAATGGTTGAAACATTAAAGACAGAGAACAAGGAAAGAACATTGAAGGCTATAAGGGAGAAGGGTCGGACAACATACAAAGGTAAACCCAGCAAAATAACAGAATATTTCTCAACAGAAACCATAAAGGCAAGAAGGACATTATTCATAAATGAAGAGGAAATAAAAAACCTTTCATGATAAACAGAAACTAAAACTATGTATGACCATTAAACCAGCACTCCACAAGATACTCGAAGGAATCTGACACATAGAAGAAATAAACATAGCCACAAAAGGATGAGAATAATTAAATTTAAGGAGATGAGCAGAGAAGCAATTGTAAAGTAGCAAAGAATCAATTGCAACATACACACCAGAAGCAATAAAACAGCAAGGATTATCACATATCTCTCAATATTAACACAGAATATTAATGGTCACAACTTGCCTATCCAAAGACATAGATTAGCAAGCTGGAATAAAAAGGAAGAGTCAACAATTTATTGTTTACAAGAAACCCATCTCACTGACAGAAAAAAATACTGGCTTAGGACGAAAGGATGGAAAAAGATTTTCTAAGCAAATGGCACCCAAAAACAGGCAGGAGTGGCTATAGCTATATCAGATAAAGTAGACTTCAGAAGGCCACTTCATAGTAATAAAAGGAACAATACATCAAGAGGAAATAACAATTGTTAACTTTTATATGACCAATGTCAGTACACCCAACTTCATTAAACACTACTGGACTTTAAAACACAAATAGACCCCAAAATAATGATACTGGCAGATTTTAATATGCCACCGTCAACAACAGATAGGTCATCCAGACAAAACAAGGAAACTTCAGAAATAAATGACACCTTAGACCAAATGGATGTAACAGACACGTACAGAGCACTTCATCCAACAGCAGCACGACACACATTCTTCTCAGCAGCCCACAGAACTTTCTCCAAAACAGATCATATTTTAGGACACAAAGCAAGTCTTAACAAATATAATAAAACTGAGATAACTCTCTGCATCCTATCTGGCAACAATGGAATAAAACTAAAACTCAACAACAAAAGTAGAAAATACTCAAACACCTGGAGAATGATAATACACTACTATACAACCAGTAGGTCCATCGAAAACATAAGGGAGGAAATCAAAAAGTTCCTGGAATCTAATGAAAATGAAAACACAACCTACCAGAATCTATGGGATACAGAGGAAAGTTTATAGCTGTCAGTGCCTACATTAAAAACACTGATAGACCTCAGTGTTCCTAGAAAACTGACCTAGAATAAATCAAATCCCTAGAAAAACAAGAACAAGTTAAACCCAATGCCACCAGAAGGAGAGATAATAAAAGGGCCAAAATCATCAAAATTAGAGACCAAAAACCCCACAAAAAAGCTGGATTCTCTGAAAAGATAAATAAGATTCATAAGCTCTTAGTGAATCTGAGTAAAATGAAGACTCTAATAAAATTAGAAATGAAAAAAGGGGACATCACCACAAATGCCAACAAAACCATATGATCATTAGGGAATACTTTGAAAAACTGTATCCAAATAAATTGGAATATCTAGAACAAATGTATAAATTTCTAGACACACATGACCAACCAGAATTAAACAAAGAGGACATAAATCAACTAAATAGATCTATAACAATTAGTGACGTTAAAGCAGCACTAAAGGGCCTCCCTAAAAAGAAACGCACAGAACCTGACAGATTCACTGCTGAATTTTACCAGACCTTAAAAGAACTAATACCAACACTCCTCAAACCAGTCTATGAAATAGATAAAGGAAGGAACACTACTACACTCATTCTATGACGCTAGTATTACGCTATTTCTCAAACTGGACAAAGACACGACAAAAAAAAAAAGAGAGAGAGAAAGAATTATAGTCCAATCTTTTTAATGAACTTGGATGCAAAAAATCTTAATAAAATACTGACAAACTGAATTCAACAACACACCAAAAAGATCATACACCATGATCAGGTTAGTTTCACTCCACAGATGCAGAGATGGTTCATCATATGCAAATCAATAAATATAATTCAGCATACAAGCAGAAGCAAGGACAAAATCCACATACTCATCAATAGATGCAGAAAAGGCTCTTGACAAAATACAACATTCTTTCTTGATAAAAGTTCTGATAGAACTAGGAATCGAATGAATGTACCTCAACATAATAGAGGCTATATACAATAAACCTATAGCCAACATCATACTCAATGCGGAAAAAAACTTTCCCCTAAAGTCAGGAACAAGACAAGGGTATCCACTCTCTCCACTCTTATACAACATAGTTTTGGAATTCCTAGCCAGAGCAATTAAGACAGGAAGAAAAAAATAAAATGAATTCAAATAGGAAAAGCAGAAGTGAAATTATCCTTATTTGTAGATGACATGATCTTATACCTGAAAGACCTGAAAAACTCTACCAAAAAACTCCTACACATCATAAACACTTTCAGTAAAGTAGCAAGATACAAAATCAATATACAAAAATCAGTAGCTTTCATATGTACCAACAATGAACAGACTGAGAAAGAATTTAGGAAAACAACCTCTATAGCCTCAATGAAAAATACTCAGGAATAAACTTAACAAAAGAAGTGAAAGACCTCCACAAAAACTATATACCACTGAAAAGGACATCAGAAGATAGAACAATAACCTATGTTCATGGATTGATGGAAGTGATGTTGTGAAAATGGCTATACTACCAAGAGCAATCTAGATGTTCAATACAACTCCACCTAAATTCCAATAACATTCCTCACAGGGATTGAAAAATCAACCCAAAAGTTCACATGTGGCATTTATACACAATGAAATTTTATTCAGCCACAAAAAAAACCTAAAATTGTTATTTGTAGGTAAATGTATGGAACTGGAGAACATGAATCAAGTTAGACAAATTCAGAAAGCCAAAGGCCACATGTTTTCTCTCATACAGACACAATACAAATACAAGCATTATATACACACAGAAATACACATGGAGCATGTATGCAACAGTGCGACTGGTAGAGGAGACCAAGGGAGGAGGAAAAGAAGGAAAGAAAGATGGTGAATAATAATGAAATATATCACATCTGTGCAGAAACAAGACACAAGGAAACACACTGAAAACTGTTGAGTAACACAGGATGGGGGGAAAGGGTGAGAAATGCGTAAATGTCACAATGGAACTCCCTGTATAACCATCATAACCAAGCAAAAATGTTTAAAAATGAAGGACATGAAGGTAAAGTAAGTCCTTTCTGGTGTTTGCTACCAGTGAGAAGGGTGAGGGCATAAGGAAAGGGTGAAGAAAAGTGCATATGGTGGAAGTACTATGTATTAATGTATGAAAATGGAACAAGAAGGCCTGTGGAAACTATTCTAAGAAGTGGGGGAAGGGGATAAAGGAGAAAGTAGTAGTTCCCGAGAAAGAGTGGGGATGAAGGCAACAGGCTGAGGAGAGAAGGGAGATAAGAGT